GGGTTTACTTACTTAGTTACTTACTTCAGTATGTTCCAGTTTTACTCGCCTGAAGGTTTGCCTCTTCTTTTTATGGTCTGTGTAATGTGGTATTGGTTGGAAGAAAAATGGGTCCATTGTCTTCTGTCACTTGAACTGTAAATCATTTCTGATACAAATGTTCTGCCATAACATGATGCTGAACTGTTCAACACATCCCTTCTGATGATGTCACCAAGAGATATAACATTGGGTCTATTGTATTACTTCTCCCCTTTAGTCCCCAGTGGAGCATAGGCCTTCAACAATTCAGGCCTAGTCATTCTGCCCTTTTGTTATTGACTGCAGCTCACCCCATGTCCTCCCCATCTTTTTAACTGCATACTCTAGCTGCCTTCTCCATGTGTTTTGGTCTGCCTTTATTTCTATGCCCCTGTGGGTTGCGGTGCAAAGATATTCTGGTTTTATTGCTCTCTGATTTTCTCAGCATGCGTCCTATTCAGCGTCAGTGTCTATTTCTCAACTCTTAGTCAACTAGAATTTGTTAAATTGTCTCCCAAACCTCAACATTAGTGATTCTAACATACCATTCAACTCCCTCTACTTTGCGCAGGCACAAGTTAATAAATGTTTTGCAGTTTATTAGTAATTGTAGTAGTTGTTCTCCATGTTTCTACTCCAGAATCTGCTGACAGTTAAACACCAACTGTCTGTGGAGGAGACATGTCCATATTGAGCTTCTCTCAGCTGACCAAAATCATCATCCATTTGTGCCATGTTGCATGACATGGGGCTTGCAGTCTTTTTCTCCATTATGTTGTGTTTTGTGTAATCCTCACATTATCATGGATGGAATCCAGTGCACAATCTATTGCCTCTTTCAGTGATGTTTGTCATAGAGTTTCTCTTGGATGTTTTCATCTGTTTGGTAATGCTCTGTCAGCTTTGCCAAAGCTTGGCCAGGTTACATCCCACTATATCTGACTAGGGGTGTGGAGCCACAATACCAGTTTTGCACTCCTTGTTTAACTGCGAGCTTGGAGAGGAGAATTTGAGCTCTGCAACACAGTCCCTGCAGAGTTAATTCTTTGGTACCATTTGAGGTGTAAACTCTCAGCACAAAGCTCACTGCCATAGAGAGCTTAGACAGCCTGAAAATCAAAACCATCAGAGCTTAACAGTCAAGACAATAACAGAATAATTAAGTAAGCAAAGGACTCTTTCCATGCCACTGGTTCATCAAGCATATTTTAGTTATTATAACTGGTTCCAATTTCCCTAAAATGCCATAGTCTGTGTTGTATGGAGGTGGAAAATCATCAAGGGAATGGGATAAACGTGGAATAAAGGTGATTACACAAAGCTTAAGAGCTGAGCTTCTGAGAAGAATCACACACAAAATACAAGGTGATGGCAACAAGGGTCCTGAAATCCACAACAGTTTTTCCTGAAATCCAATGCTCTGATTTTAGAAGACTTTCCTTAACACGGGCGGGTCTTGTTAGTCACACTTGCTGTCGCCATAGGCTGCTATTTCCATGCCTGCCCATAGCCCAGTATAAAGCTAGTCTGGAAAGACTGAAAGGTGCTAGCTAGATTTATCATTGCATTTTAGTAATCATAATCTCTCTGTATCATGAATTCTCAATTTTCAGTAATCGTAACTTGTTTTCCACTTTCCTGATTTGCCTGCATACATTTTAGTATCACTACCTTTTCAATCATTAACATGTAGTTTTTCATTTGCGATGCTTTGTTTTCTAGTTTCCTACTTTGCTCCCTACATTTCAGCCTCACAGCCATCAGGAACAACAGACCTTTGCAGAAACAATAAAGATGTGGTTTTCTTGCAGCACAGTGGAGTCATCAATTTGGAGGATGGTCATGATGGGCTACAAGAATTGACAACTGTTGGTGAGAACATTGTTGACCTTCTTTGTTGAAAGTAAAGACAGTTTGTCACATGTGTTTACAATCGATTGGCAGAGACAAAAATAACTGTGTCAGCACACACACACACACACTCTCACACACACACACACACACACACACACACACACACACACAGTAGAGCCATGGTAATGTAGTGGCTAGATGCTTTCATGTTGACCGAAAGTTACTGCGTTCAAATCCACAAGGCATATTTGTTTTTAAATTTATCTGGACAGCTAAGTAAATAAAGCCAGCATTCTGTGAACAAAAATCACTAATCTCATTCAAAGTGGTAGAGAATTATGGGTCTAGCAATAAATGCTCAAGTGCTAATGCTTTGAAAAAAAAGTAATTTTTTTTTCTGCATTAATCTGAAAACATAAATGTTTTGTGCCTGTCTACAACATGGCTGCAGTATTTGTGAATTTCGGCTGACACAACCCACTTTTGAAGGCATTTGTTGCCTGGGTAAGCTTTTGGTTAGTTCTTGGGACACTGCAGTCTCATTGTTGCTTGGTCATGTTTGTTTCCTAGTTCACATGTGGGTCCCTTCCCCCAAAATCAGGCCCGCCCAGAGCAGCCACATAAGACTGGTCTGGTCAGTCCTCAGGAGAAGGCAGGGACAGAACATGAGCATTCCACACCATCCAAGGTGTCTTTCACTTTTGTAAATGCAGAGCTTTTATGTGGTGCTCTGGTACTGGAGTTGTCACATTCTGCTGCTGCTGACTGTTTAACCTCACTTCTGTATATTGAACCTCTCGTTCATCATGGGCTGCACCTTTAGCAGCCAGCTACAGGTAGCTTGGCAACATGGAATTTTGATTACCTACACAAAATGAGTACTTTGCTTCTTATGCGTGTTAGACTTTTATTGATTTTATTGAAAAAAAAAGTGCCTAATTTTCTTGGGGTCTTTTGTTGCTGTTGTTGCCATCAGCAAAACGAGTCTTCAGTAAAGATTCTGTTGTTTATTTATTCTTTATATACATTTGATTTGTAAATTTTTAATTATGAGTTAATTTGATGAGAGCTGCCGGTGGTAAAGGATTACTCATAAACACCAGGAGGAAAGAAAAAAATCAAATTTATTGATCACATCTGCAGAACTGTCATTACTGTCTATATTTACTACTGTTTAGAGCATTGTAGGGAAGGGAAAAAGGGGGTCGGGGGTAGGCTTTTGTTGTTGTTGCTGCTGAGTATTCAAGGCTACCTAGCTTGTGCAGTCACCATGATTTGTACAGATTAGGAGTTTTATCCTCCCAACACACAAATTTCCATCACCGTGCCAAGGATTTGAACCCATGGCGTTTCCTGCACTAGAGCCCAGAATTCTAACCACTTGGCCAGCCACTTCTCCATACCAAACAAGGGAATAGAAACGAGTCTTATTTTGAAGAAATCTGACGTAAGAGAGGCAGAAGAAGACAGAAAGATATGTATGGGAAGCTGAAATGGCTGGGAAGCAATTAATAAAATAATTAACCCCTACTTCTTGGTTAATGGCCTTACCTGCATGGGACTGCTGGTGGTATAAGCAGTTATAATGCAAAGAAGGGAGTGATATTTTTTTGCACACACAGAGGAGAAGCGAACAGAGAACCACCAGACAGGCACTGAAATAGGAAACATATGGATTGAAACTAGAAAGTCCAAAAGAAATGCTAAGAGCAATGTTGATGATCCATGTGTGGGTTCCAGGGCCCCATTATGGGAAAAACAAAAATAGACCCACTGCCTCCCCAACAAGCTTTTTGTAGGGGTCAACTAATTTGGGGTTTCCTTTGAAGTCAGAGTCCTTCTGCCTGAGAGGCAAGGAACCAACAGTCTGCATACAAATATGTCAGATCTGTAGAATGGATGTGCACCCAACACTCAGGTTCTGGAACAAGTCTAAATAAAGTCCAGAGGTGGATGAACTTTTCGCCGGAGTTTACAGCTGGTGAACGCGAAGAAGAAGAAGAACGTTGATGGAAGAAACCAAAGGTGCTGTACTGGATTCAATCCCTGATATTGAAACAGTTGAATAGGATAGAATCCAAGAAAAACGTCTTACTATAAAAGAACAATAGGATGATGGTGCTGATAATGATTAGATGTTTAATAGTCAGGGTTATTCAAAATTATGGATACATTTTCATGCATGTATATTTCCATGAATATCCATTATATATTAATAATATACATACAAGAGAGAGAGAAAGGTCTAAAGTTTAAAAACTTACAATAGAGGTTATCGGTGTTCAATATGGCTGCCATCTGCTGCTCGACAGACATCTAAGGGTTGCTATACTCATCCCACACACAAAGAGTAAGACAGTTCCCTGCAGCCGTGAAACAGTTTTGCAGGTTGACCAGAGTTTTTTAAAGAGGTGGTGCAAACTGTAGGCCTTCTCCTCGCACTTGTATATATATATATATATATTAAGTTAGTTGCGTATCCTTTACAGGACGTTTCAGAACCAACCCTAACAGCCCCTGGCTGTTGTGTGGTTTCTCTTGGCAAATTTACGTCCAGTAGTTTGCCATTGCTTGCTGGACGGTCGGCTTTCTTGATACCACTGTCGAAACCAACGCAAGGCGCATTGCCCGCAACTGGGATCGAACCCGGCATCCCGGCATTTCGAAGCGAAGCGTTCGCATCGACTTGGCCACAGAGCCGACATATATATATATATATTATGTAATGTTTAAAGTAATATGCATGAATGAAAATGAATTCATCACTTTGAATAAACCTGTATATTTTAACAAACATTGTTTTAAAACATTTGTTACCTATAGAATGTGAGCAAGATAAGCAGGTTGTGGTTGAGAATGCTGAAGCAGTTGATCGAGGTCCTCTGCCAGGACTCCCCTGCTGCCGTGTTTGTCTTCATCTATTTCCAAGTGAATACATGCTTTTCCACCATGTCCGCTCCAACCATCCCAGCTGTGAGACCACCAACAGTGTGTATCTGGAGGAACTGAGGGCTCAGAGTCACCTGACCTGTCCCATCTGCAGCAGTCCCCCAGTTTTCCTGGCCTCGTCAGCCAAACTGAGGCGACACCTGCGAGTTAGTCACGGCATTGAACACTGTGTGGAGACTTGCAGGTTTTGTCATGCAGAATTTGTGGACAAACAGGAGCTCGAGCTACATATGGGGGTTTCTCACAGTGTAGGTGTTGCTCATCATTTCTTGCACTAGTTCATCGTTTTCATTCACGGTTATTGGATGTTTACTTTTCATGATTTTTTTTTAGCTTGCTAATTCTGGGTAAATGTTGGCTACCTTTCTGGCTTTCCAGGCGATTGGGTTCCATCAGAGACATGGGAATCAAAACCCATGGCAATGGCTGTCCTTTCCATAGCAACAAGCTGGGCAGTATTGTAGGGACCATGTGTTGCCAGTGCAGCATGATCACTCTCCCAGCCTGCTTTGTTAACTTTAGAGGAAAGGTAACACCAGTATATTTGAACCTAAGCATGCTGCAGAAGCTGCTGGATCAGAAGAGCAGTGTTCTGTCTCTCTGCCTGTTGGAGATTCACTCTTAGTTAAGCTACCAACCATGGCTAAGGGTGTGTTTGGTCCTTTCATAACATTGTTTTCATTGTGCATTTCCTTGTCTTATCATAACATTGTTTTCGTTGTGCATTTCCTTGTCCTATCATAAATTGAGTTTCCTTTCCTTATCTGTTGAGCTTTATCTTTAACAATTTCTACATCGGTTTTGAATCATGAGTGTCACCTGAATATCTAAGAACAGAATACATTTTGATCCTCATTAACTTGTCAAATCAATCATCAGTCTGTCTCATTATCACTTTTTCCAACTTTAAAATGGAATGTAACATTTACTTTTTGCTCCATGCCGCTTATGTGCCTATGCACCTATCACTAGCTAAACAAAATGGCAAATTACTTGTCATCTGCTGACTGGGTGATGTTGCAATTGTGCCAGATCATAGATGAATGTTTCCTGTTGGGATGACATGTTTTGCTTAATCGATGGCATTGTTATCTTGAAGATAATACAGTCAGTCTAATTATGTAATTTTTGGACAGAATGTGTGTGTATTGTGTATGCTTTATTCTCTTTCAGGATTTGGTTTTTATCTTCATTGTATCTTTTTACAGACAGAAATAACTGTTTAATCTCTTTACACTGTTGGAAAGTAGGACTGTATCACCTGCATGACTGGAATCCGATTTCCACCATTTATGAATGTGATACAGTTGTCACAGGTTTCATTCCTCATTTTTCAAACATTTCTCACTATTTTGTCTGCTGAAGTTAATAAAAGAATCATTTTTATGCCAGCTTTGCATTGGGAATATGATGCTAATCTCATATTTGTATAGACCAGCAAGTAGTCAGTGGGTGATGTCATCATAATCATCCTGGCCACCTTTACTTCCCAGGACATAACCTACTATTTCTGTGCAAGTGGTGAGATTTTTTTCTTCTGAAAAGAATGTTTCAAATTTTTCTTCTATTTCTTCTTCTTCTTCTTCTTCGTCTTCTTCTTCTGGAATCCTTTCCAGAACCTTCTGTCTCGTGTATTTTCAGTCTTTTCTGACACAGATTATCATCCATGCCAAAATATTCAGCATCTTCTCTCTCTGTCTCCCTCTGCTTCTTTTTCCCTGTAACTTTCCCACCATTGTGATGTACTTCAGGTTTCTCCTTCTCATGACATGACCAAAGAATGTAGATTGTATTTTTCTGAATTGGTCAGTCAGTTCTCTGTGTCATCAATTTTATTTCAAGACATCTTCATCACTTTTTTTCAAACTGTCCAGGGTGTTTTGTGGTAAGGGTAAATAAACAGAAGTTGGCAAGGAAAAGATAGGGGGCAGTATAAAACCTATACACAGCTTTAAGAAAGAGACTGTTTGTTCCTTGAGAATGCGTTAGAAGAGAAAAGTATTGGGAAACATGATGACACAGATTATCAGCAGTAGATGAGCAGAGATAGAACTGGAGAGGTGACACTAGATGGTGGCATAGAAGAAAATGGAAGCCATCATGCTGCAGTGGCTAGACGCTTGCCTGCAGATCTAGGGTCGTGGATCCAAATCTTAATAGAGCTGGTCATGTTTTCAAAAATTACCTTGGCTTCCCGGCTGACCCAGGCTTAAATGGGTACCAGGTAAAGTCCTGGGAAGTAAAGGTGGCTGGCGTGATGTTTACCACATCACCCACCGAGTGCCAAATGGTGTATAAAATATAGGTCTAGAACTTTATGCCTAATATGCATGAAGGCATGGAAAAAGATCCTTTACTTTACTTTTATAGAATAAAATGATCAGCTGAATTGAACCAGACCTCTAAGGACTAAAAGATCTGTGGAGAGACAACAAGGCCTGCACTATCTGGCAGGCATATTGTGATGACGATCGATCAATTGATCAGTTTGTCCTCCCCTCTGGGATGCTATCTAAAGGTTTACCATGCTCTGAGATTTCAAAGTAATCTCAATCTGGATGGCAGACCAATAAGGCAGACCTTATATACCCCCTTCAGCCTGCAAAGAAGTTATAATCAGGATGCCCGTAATGGCTACACCAGCCAAACGTAACCTGCAGTCTTATGGCGGTAACAATGGCAATAATCATGAAGAACAGGCAGAGCGAGACGATGAAACCATTCACCTAAATATTGTTAGGAATTAAGAGCAAATAGCTATTTTATGTGATGTTTGAAGCAAAGAGGCAAGTATAGAGCTAGTGTTGTCAATGTTGTCATGAATACATGGAGAATGAAGCGACTTTCTAATGTCACACTTTTGTATATACCCACAGACATTTGCTGGCCGGAGATTGGTTAGTTTGTTGAAACCTTCTCAGTCCAGTCACCATCTTAAGGGACAGAGACCTGTGCTTTCTGATTATCTGTCTTGCAACAGGTAAAGCATTCACATTTTTGATTTCCTGAATCTTATCCTTGCATTGGGACCATGATTTTAAATGGTACTTATGTTTCATGGAAAAATCAACCTAAACAGAAAGTAGAACTGGCAAATTTCCCAATTTCAAGAATGAATAACAGAATGGATGTTGCCGCTAGGAAGCCTTCAACCACGTACTTCTTTTTCTATGTTTGACGTCAGCCATTCTAAATATTTCATCCTATTTGGGTGACCAACAGGAGGGTGTGTCTAAGATAGCCATGTGTGCCCCCCCTCCCCCTTTCCTCTTCCTGCCCTCACCCCTTTTACAGCTGTGTCTTGCAGTGTAACCCTTTCTGGCCAGATTGCCCAACTTCTGCTGAGGGGATAGAGCTCTGCGGAAGCACATGATCAAAAGTCTTTCTGCTGCGGAGTTACAGATGACAAAATCTTGCCTGCCTGTTCTCTGTATTAGTACACTGCGACCACATGACCCTGTGGGAAGGGAAGCCTTGTCGATTATTGTTTGTTCTTTCCTGCTTCATCAGCATGCAGTAACATTGACAGTGATACAACTACATGAAAGACTACATATCTTCTTCTGCTTCTTAGTGTTCACTGGTTGTAAACTCCAACAGAAAGTTCTGGTTGTTCGTCAACACCTGGACTTTCGTCTTGATCCAGAGCTTGTGTCTTGTGAGCACCTCCATTTTCCAGATCTTGCTTCTTTGTAGGCAGACTTTTGGTTCCTTGCCTGTCAGGTAGGTGCACTTCAGACTTTGAAGGAAACACCTCTAATTTGTCACCTCTTACAACATGCCTGCTAGGAGGACAGTGGGTCCTTTCACTGCTCTCCAAAATGCAGCAGAGTGGAGCCCAGGAACCCACATGGGGAGACTACATATAATCATTTTGCTTATTTGGATGAAATTCACCTATCAAGGTGTCCATTCACCCTGGAAAACAAAGTCCCACCATGTATTTAGAAATGATTGCAATAGTATCCCCCAGAGACCTCAAATGTGCCTATCAAGGACAACTTCTGCTGTATAGAGCCCATGTCATTTTAATCAGTAACTGTTCATTATGTACATCACATCATATAGCTTTTAATTATTCTTGTTGAACTTCTGTGCAGTTTTATTTTAGATGGAGAGACTGATACAGCAGAGTGTGGGGAGAGGATCTGGACAATAGTCAGTGTGCAGTGGAGTGGTCAGGCTGACTTTTAATGTGGTTAAATGGACAACATCAGTATGGGAGCTGTTCGTTTTGAGGAAGGGGACAGAGCACATTTGGAAATTTCCTGAGTGCAGAGGTGGCAGTTCTTGATTTATTTATTCATAATTTTTGTTCACAAAGTAACACTGGCAGGAGCACTCATATTGGACAAGGCAGAGATGTTATAAAGACCATTTATAAACAAATGTGGTTGGAAGATACTTAGTTATTGAAAGATACTACGTTGTTGGAAGATAATATGTTACAAGAAACATCATGTGTAAGATTGCATGCATCCAGCAAGAAAGGACGTATGAGACGCAGAGTACAATGTATATACAAACATTGTGTTACTGGAAGTCAGTATGTACACCGTAACTCTTTGAGTCCCAGAGGGTTTAGCATCAGAGCCCAAGGGGTGGTAATGCATTTATTTAATTCCACAAGTGTAACACATTAAAACAGACAAATTCTAATTCAACTGCCACGCAACATACACATATTATACATCAAAGTGACCATGGATTGTTGGGAAATAATAATAGAAAACTGCTACAACAAATAATTGTGTTAGTAATTAAATATTAGTAAATAAACAGATGGTATGTTTACAGAAATTAGTAACATAAAATATAAAAATGTCCACTCAACACCATGCCACTCAAGAAAAACTCATAAAATATACCTAAACTGAATTACAAATTGATATGAACCCCTTAGTAATGTATAAGTAAAATATAAAATCAATCTGTGCATTAGATAATGTTTTAGAGAATCTTTTGAAGTATCAAATCAAAGCCCCATTATTTGATAAAGAAAACTGACTTTCCAAAAAAGTTAGTATCTTTGCACAAAACGAAGTTTATATAACACTAAATTTGCCTGTAATTGTGTAGCTATGTTCCTAATTGACAAAATGAATAGCACTGGAACTAACAGACACGGAAGAAAATAAATTTTTCTATTTGTGTCATGAGGTACACATTAGATCTATCCTTTATCAAAGTTTGACTTTGTAAATGACTTAAACAAGTCTACTTCGCAACTTTATCTATCTAACTGCAGATAAATATAATAAAAATGTGCTTTAATTAAATTTGAGGCTTCTAAAGCCATAAATCGTGTTGACATGTTTGTAGAATACTGCACGGTGGCCATATTGTTTTCAAACGAACACTAACTCGGTAAACATTGCAAATATACTATATTTTCGGCTTTTTAAACCACGTTTATAAATTAGCACACCTGACATCAGACACAAAGAACTCAAAAGGATGTTGAAATTGAGCGGTCCACCTTTTATTACCGGTCAGTGGTAAATTAAAAATCTTCACTTGTCACGCGTCGATTGGGCCACTGGGTTGTAACCAATTAGCGCGTGATGCGTTCTCTGGGACTCAAAAAGTGAAGACATATGCTGCCTGACATGAAGCATCTTACTCAAATCACTAAAGAAAAAATCAGAGCTTTGAAGTAAAATGCTGCAGAATATTCTAATAATACCATGAATCAAGAAAAAGAAAAACACACACATCATACATGATCTGAACATCAAAGAGAATAGGCCCATAAACAGCATCCTTTCCGTGTGAAGCATCGTGATGGCCTGAAGAGAATCGGCTATAGAGGAAGACATTGTCAGGTGTCTGTGGTGAGAGCGATGTTCTCTAATGAACCTGCTGACTGATGGTGGTTGAGCATTTGTGGTTATTATGGCTGTCATGCTGTGATGTTTACTCTTAAATGAGTATGTTTGTTAGTCAGGCAATGCCAGCGTGGTGGGTAATGAACAGGCAGACAGATTGGCTGGATCTGTACCACTAGGTGATGAATTGAATTATGGCAGGGCAGATGTGGTCAAGGCCCTTTAGGAACAAGCAATGAATCAGTAGAGAAAGAAGATTATTATGTCCTGGAGAGAATGAGGCACCTGTGTGTAACAAGAGGGTCTGGCTGGCTCACTACACTCAGAGGAAAGGCAAGACGGACATATAACCAGATTGTGACATGTACCATCAGTATTGGAACTCTGCACTGGCTGCTGAAGATGAGGATGGAGCATGCATGGGAATGTCCCGAGTGCTGTAATGTCAATTCTTGACTCAACTCAGCTTAATTCAACTCAACTGTGTTTGTTAGTGAGATAAGTCTGATTGTGCTGAAGGGTCATTGTGAGATATACCTCTGCATCCTGTAGGTGCAACATTGCCTTTAGTGACTGTGTTTCTCTACTGAGTCACACGCTGAAAGTCCACCCGGAGCTGAACCAGTTTAATATGTGCCGCCTGTGTGATCGCCTCTTTGACTCCAGCATGTCCCTCCACAAGCACCTGAAGAAAGTTCACGAGCAGACCCATGATGGAGCTCTAAAGTGTCCCTTCTGTCCAGCGTGGCTGTCTAGCATGGAGTTGGCTTCAATACACAGAGTCACCTTGCACACAGGAGCTGTCCCTGTACACTGCCCTTTTTGTGGGGCCGGTAAGTATGTTTTTACATGGTTGTCTTGTTCTAAAGGTAAAGGTAAAAGGTCAAGTCGGGAGATGTGAACCATCATCATTGCACACGGTTATAAACCATAAGTGCTCTGCCACCAGTAGAGACAGCTAATAAGACACTGTCCACCTGTGTCGCCATCCGCACATAACTCCGTAGCTACAGAGACGTTCCTCCATTCACCCCCGAGTGTCAACTCTGGTACCCATTTCCTAGAGGCTGGGTAAACCCCGGAAACCGCCCAGTTTCGAACTCCGACCGTGGCTGCAGCGAGTCGCAGCTGGATTTGAGTTCTCTTTGTGTTCTATTATTAAAGTTGTTTTATTTATGCTTTTAAGATTTTGGGTTGGACTTCTGGGACAGTATTGCAGGTAGGCCTGTTGACCATTGAAGCCTTGAAGACTTATTTGCTTCAGGCCATAGTATACTAAAACAGTTTCCCCATTGTTGGACTAGAGGTCCTGAGTTTTCAGTGCTCAGAAACTGAACTGATAGCTTGTTGTGACACTGAACTGTGTGGATGTCATATGAAATGTTATTTTCTTCTGCGCCGTTGCTAATTTTATGTTGTGAACTGCAGTAAAAATGGTGGGTGGCCTATTACATTTGGAGAAAAGTGATTATTGCTCTAAAATACCTGCTTGTCATGACTGATTTATTTTATCCACAGTAACAGTTCTGATGTGAAACTGTTATTGTTGGCACATCTGTTGGCCGCCTTATGCATTTACTTTGTGTGGACAAACTGCCAGATTTAGCCCTGAGAGCTCTGTTTTTAATTAGTTGGTACATATCACGAAAATCACTCCATCTTGTTGGGTGCGAGATTTCATGTCGGCTCCCACTCATGGCATGGCGGTTCCCACAGGCTGTCCTGTATTGTAGGGGTGTTAGGATATACGTTTCCTTCGCGGTCAGTATACCCCGTTCAGAGAAGAGGCAGCAGGGTTGTTGCTGAAGATAGGAAGTTTATGCATTGTGCAATACTTTTTTGGATGGCCAGCCACTCTGTGGGTAGAGACTGAGCAATATGGAATTAAATTTGTCAAGTGAGATCAAAGTTTTTGCCTTTAACTGTTTCTGTCCCAAACAATGTACAGTGTGTGATTATTATAGTCAGTGTTTATCAGACAGCAAACAGTATGTTGTTATATATTTTAATTTGGTCTTAGCATGCTAAAGAAATCTGGCTAGATATGGTAACATGCATCCCAGTATATGTAATTTACACATCAAGGAAATTTAACTAGTAAACATCTTGTCTTGAAAACTGAAGTATTTTGGCCATTTGAAATACCACAGGAGTTTGGAAAGAATAGTAGTAGAAGGTATGTTGCCAGGAAAGAGGTACAGGGGCTAACCAACACAAAGATGGGCATGGGATGTAAGTGACAATTTGGTTAGGAAGGTGCATAAGTTGGGAAATCTGGCCGGAGACCAGCTTTCTTTCAGACAGACTGTGATGAGAGTAACATTCTGCAAAAGGACTTGCTACATAATAATAATAAGATGTGTTAAAATACTTTGGAAATAACCAGAAATGCATGGTCAAATTGTTAGTGCCAACAGAGTTAACTTACATGAACACAAATTACATGCAGATATTACGACAGTAATTTAACACTGCTTGTACTGTCTTCTGTACTTCCAGGTTACCAGAACCTCCATTTGATGTACAACCATGTCCGCAGCCAGCACCTTCAGACAGAAGCCCACGTGTGTCCTGAGTGCCAGTCAAGCTTTCCCACCAGCCGCTTACTGTCAGAGCACATGAGGAAGACCCACGTGATGAGCCCCCGCATCATCAAGGATATTTCCCACAGTGGCTGCAACATGAGCTACTGCTGCCCATTTTGTAACATGTCCTTCATTCGCACCTATGATTTGGCTGCCCATGTGATCAACGCCCACAAGGAATGCCTTCTGCCTTCCCAGTGCCAGATGTGCATGCAGTCTTTCGTGAATGACGTGGTCATGAAGATGCACATGTCTGGAGCTCATGGGATTGACATGCATCACGAGGCATCATCTGCCGACTCTAGCTATGTCCATGGACATTTTGAAGACTCCGAGTCTGTGACTGTGGTACTGCAGGATAGCTCAGCCGATATGTACACCCACACAAAGGACCTGGATGCAAGCTCTCACAGCAGGAATTTGATGAGAGCACATTTAATAGACACACAGGACATTTTAGACTCCCAAGGTAATTGCTGTAATTGTTAAGAGTATGCTGAGTTGAAACAAAACTGACTGTACACATCTCTTTATACTGTCGGATACCTTCTGCAACGTGTCTGTTGTTACTTCTTGAATTGTAATATTGATTGCTTCCTTCTGGTCCTCAGTTGTGTATTCATTATTTTTTATATTCATTTCCTTTAAAAAAAACCATAGATAATAATCTAATGGGGTTGGTTCTGCAGAATGAGCAGGCCAAATTCCACGTGATATTGTGCCATTTGTTCAACCAAAGAAATTTTTTCTTCCTTTGATAACACCATTCTGTTTTAAGTGCACAGAATTACAATAGCAGGTTACAGCCATTCACTGCATATTGCTTCACAATTGACTGCAGCAATTTTATTATGATGACGTCATCTAGAAATACTTTGTTTTTCAAATCTGTTCTACATACAGGGTGTAATGAGATTTTAAAAACATCCTATATAATATCTTTTCAGAACCTGACCAGTATATAGACCTTGGTGATCAAGAGAACATAGTTTATCTGAGTGACAGAAATCACATGGTGACTTCAGGTAAGTCGTTAGTTTGTGCAGATAACGTTTGATAAATTACATGTCAGTTGAGTTTTTACAAATGTTGTGTGGTGTCCAGAGTGAAGATCAGCTGCAGTACAGCCATTCCTGCCTTTGGGAATATTATTTGGCAAGGCCCCAATCTAGTCTCCAGTGTGACTCTCATACCACTGTGTTTTGGGGCCCATTTTGGGGGGGGGGGGGGTAGAATAATAGACGCACTGCTTCCTGAGCAAGCATGTTGTACACGGCAACTAATTCTGAATTTTCTTTTCCCTCCAAAGTCAAAGCAAATTTGTCTGAGAGGTGAGGAACTGACGGTGTGCATATAAGTAAACCAGACCTTTGAAACGAATGTGCGCCAAAAATTCAAGTTCTTAAATGAGACTCAAGTCCAGAAGTGGATGATCAACCAGAATTTTCTGCCGTTTTTTTCAGCCTATGAACACTAAGAAGAAGATGCCACTATCCATTGTGTTTTTAATAAATATGGAAATCAGACTCTGGTACCTCAAGAATTTGTGAAAAGCATTCACTAACCTCTGAGCCACAGAATGGCACTAGTTTAAAGACATGTATATATGCAACAAGTCAATAAACGAACATGGAGGTCGATTGGGCACATCCTCAGAATGGAGAAAGAGAGACGGCTAAGACCGGCAATGCAATGAACACCACAAGGACATCGAGGAAGAGGTAGGCCCAGAGGTACTTGGAGGCGAACTTTTGAGGGCTGAACTCAAGGCTACGCAAAGGACCAAACTGGAGATAGAGAGGATGGCTCAGGATCAAATTAAGTGGTGTCGGTTTGTCTCTGCCTTATTTGCCTCTGGACACAATGAGTATTAATTGATTGATATATACAAGTGGGAGGATTTTTTTTTTACCTAAGAGTGCTCCCAAAATGGGTACTAGGTAATTATACCAGAATTTTCTAGGAATTTTCTGGGAGGGAAGTGTATTGAGAAAGTTAACTGTACACCCCACCTGAAATGCTGTGGGCTTCACACCTCAACTTCATCATTTCCTATGAAACTAACTTTGTATGCAACAAAATTCTTTACAGTGAAACTTTGTTAACATGAAGTCCAAGTTGTAGAAAAATCAAGTTTGTGTTTGCTAACCTTGGCCTCGGAGCTGCCGTGGTGTAGCAGCTAGATGTGCATTTCGGGCTGAAGGTTGTAGGTTCAAATCCGTGTAGAGCCAGAACTTCTCTAAAGTGACCTTGGCTCCCTGATCGATTAACTCTTTGAGTCCCAGGGGGTTCAGCATCACAGGCCCAGAGTGTAATAAAGAGAATCATAAAATCGGTGCATCATGTGTTCATTGGGCTTCTAGGTAGGAACCTATGAACGTATGATGTGTTCCTTGGGACTCAAAGAGTTAAGCCTAAAATGGGTACCAGGTAAAGTCCTGGAAAATAAAGGCGGCTGGAGTGATATCACCCACCGAATGACTGTTTGTAAAATTTTAGTTCTAGCATAGATATATTTAGATCATATGTCTGCTACTCCTGTTTGTGTGGGGGAAAAGACTTTAAACCAGGGCCTCAGATTAATTAATTCCTACAGGGGTTGTTGACTAAGAGCTCTTTTTTAAGCGAGTTCAAAGTAACAAGAGTGGTTAACATAGAGGGTTTAGTAGAAACCTGGTGTTAAAACCTGGGAGTAGCTGTGTTGCTACTGTTATTACTTAAAGAAAAAACATCAATCCATTTTCATTTTTCAAAAAATTAAAAAAACCTACATGTCATTTTAGCAGAGATGTAACTTTGTAAGAAGAAGGAATTGCATCTGATAGCCACAAAAGAGTGATTCCACCAAGTGGAGAAAGCACTAACCAATGCAAGAAAGCAAGTTTCAAGCGTGTTAACTCATCATACCTTGTGGGGATCGGCAGTAGAAAGTTGAGGACTGACATCTGTGATAACAACTGACAGTGACAGGTATATCCTTCACAGTTAAAGGATTAACCACCCCCGCCCCCTCCTCCTGATGTCGCAGGTGAAATGTTTGGCAGCTGTTCAGCCATGGAAGATGTCCAGCTGCTTGGGGAGACTCACGATGATTTCAATCTTCATGCAGTCGACTACCTGGAGACACTAACCAATGACAGCATTGCTGTAGGGGCTGACGTGGTTGCTGATGTTTCCATGGATGAGATGACTGACAGTGGAGAACAGGTTATCAGCAGTTTGTTTTCTTGTTGAGTTGAGATGAGTTGAGAACTGACAGCAGTTTGTTTTCTTGATGAGTTGAGATGAGTTGAGAACTGACAGCAGTTTATTTTCTTGTTGAATTGAGTTAACATCACAAGTCTTGGGACATTCTCATAAGTGCTCTGTCCCTGTCTTCAGCAGCCGGTGCAGTTCCACTTCAGATTGTACCGGCAAGCAGTCTGATTGTAAGTACATCTAGCCTTTCCTCGAAGTGTTGAGTGACAGCCAAATCCCCTGTCACTCCCTGTAGCATCACCCTTATCAGACAATGATGATCAAAGAGTGCTTCTGCACTGTTCACTTGCTCCCAATTGGCCTGGACAGTTAATTTTCTGGTAAGAATAGCTAATCTGATCATAGAAGCTGCCTAGGGAGGCATTTAGTGACAACAGGAGTATCACAAAAGCCTGTGACTCATATACCATGTATACAACAAATGTATCGTCAGATTTCATAATTATGGTGGGGTTTGAACGTAATTATATTCAAATCTGAGACACTAGGGGGAGCCACGGAAGCGAAACGGCTAGATGCTCACAGCTTGGCCAGAAGGTCTTGGGTTAGTAGTAAGTCCATTGAATCCGATTTTGTTCCTTTCAAAATTGACCTTGACTCCTTTGTTGACCCAACCTTAAGTGGGTAACAGGTAATGTTCAGGAAGGTAAAAGTGGCCAATGTGATGTTGACCACATCACCCCTCGAATGCCGATAGGACTGTAAACAAATGGGTCTAGCTGTATAGAATTGTTACATTGAGCGATAGGAGGTAAGGAAGAGAGCTATTGTGTTGAAACTTTATTTGATTTGTCTTTTCTACTGCCTTGGGGATCGCCATGGTGTGGCGACTAGACACTCATCTACAGATCGGAAGGTCTAGGGATTGTCTCCTGATGGAGCTGAATATTTTAAAAAATGACCTTGGTTGATCTAGCCCTATTTGCCCCTTTACCTATTTACCTCCTTTACTTTACTTTACCTGCTGCCCTAACCTCAGGGGTCATTTTAAATTCTTTTTTCCTTTACTCTGTAGGATTTTCTTCTTATTCTACTTCTCCTCCTCCTCCTTCTACTTCTTCTTCTTCTAATTCTTCTTTTTCTTCTTATTCTTCCTCTTCTTCTGTTGCATTAGTCCTCAAAAGGACAATTGACACATTATGTTATGGTTTACAGCAAGACTGTAATATCTGTGCTTTTCAGCCCATCATATCTAATTTCAACAAACTCCTTATTAGTTGTCTTTTAGGACATGCTTGTAAGGGAGCAGTGGGTCTTATCCCCACCCTCCACCCATTTTTTCCAGAATAGGGCCATGGAATCCACACCAAGAGTGTAGAACTCTAATATGTGTGTCTGTCTGTTGGTTCCAGAAACTGTTGCAGCTGATACTGAATGGGAATACTAACCATAATAAAAGTAGCACTGTGTATCACCCTCACGGTCATGGCAATCACTGTGTTAAAACAACCAGTCAGGTTTCATACTATGGTTAGACCAAATAAAAAGGATATATAAACACTGTATACTGTGTGGCACACAGACCTGTAGGTGAAACATATGGAGTGATCCTGGGACAGAAAGAGTTGAAGCTGTTTATGTGATGTGTTCATCAAGCGCAGTGGATTGACATAAAAAGTATTTTTTTCCCCTAGAATGTACATGAAGACTTACCATTAAACAACGAGATCTTTTTAGAATGTACATGAAGGTTTACTGTAAACAGTGAACTTTTCTAGAAAGTGCATAAAGAGATTCATAAACAGTGAACTTTTCTAGAATGAATAGACTCACAGTAAACAATGCGTGGCACGGTGATTTTGGTCACAGGCGTGAAGGAAAGTTAAGTCTGATGTGATGTGTATAAGGAGATACTCCGTACCTCACTTGGGCGCCAGTCCTTCACTGTTCTGGTTTTACGAAACCTAATGCAAGACTCCTGCTGCACATCCCCGTCGTGCGCCACGGATGTCTCAAATGAGCATTAACAGAGTTGGCAGGGGATCTCAGGGCTGGCGGCCCCCAGATGTTTAGTGTCCTTTCTGACCCTCATCACCCTGCCCCCAAACGCATGGGTGAAAAGTCTATTAGAACTCATTCCGAATGTGAGTAAAGTCTGCTTGCCAAATGTACCACCAAATGACAACTCTCGGTTAAAAGCTGGAGCGAATGGAAAACTGTGCTGCTGAGACTCAACCCTTGACCAAGAGATTTACCTGCAGGTAAGACGAGTAACATCTCTTGTGGGTGGTTTCTCGCAGTCAGATCCTACATACGTACACCCTCTGTCAATCCTCAGGGTCCTCGTCACCGGGCTGAGGTATACCACAACAGCAACTTTTCATCTGCTGGCTAGGTAATAATGTCCGACAAAGTTAGATCCTACAGCATACAAGCAAGCTCAAAGTCCGTCCATCATAAATCGTACCGATTAGAAAAAAGTCCAAATTTCCATATACACTGGTCCCACTCGCCCACGTGTTGGGACCAAGCAGGTGAAGCCACGCCTGATGTATGCTTCCCCATACTGTCGTGCTAAGGGCACAGTTGAAACAATGTTAAAGGTGTCTAATGTGCAATGAAGAAGAATGTACCTATTTGTGTGGCCACAAGAGTCCTGGACCCGTGGGCTGCTCCCCTCTAATCTCCGGAGGGTGTAGCCTGGTAGCGCGGGAAGCTCAATATACGGTTGTGAGGTTAAGCAGTCATGGGCAGGACGTGACGATTCTTTGGGTGAGCCAGAACCAGAGGATCATGTGTCAGCTCTGCATTTATGGAAGCCTCCTCGGATGGCGGGGAATGCCCATGATCTGCCCCTGCCTTGTCTTGAGGGTTGACAATTCTACGTAGGGCTGCCCTAAGGGGGGTTCTCCGGGGGTCACACCTGTATAGGGTAAAAGAGGACACCACACAAATGAGGCAATGTCTCAACCCACACAATACAATGGCCACAGTCAACCTAGAGATAGGATTGACGCCTCCCCGAAGTCGGAGTACATCTGCCGGAGAGGCGGGGAGCGAGTACTGCAAACAAATAAGCCAGTAAAACGGAATTACACGCAAAACTCAGGTCAAGGTAAAAGCCAAAAGTCCAGTTGGACGATCAACCTGACTTACTGCCAAAATTTGCAGCCGGTGAACAAGAAGAAGAAGAAGTAGTAAACAATGCATTTTTCTGAATAGTTTTTTTATTTTTTTTAATTTACATGTGTAAACAATGAAAATATGCCATAAATAATGAACTCAAATTCTATTTAGCTGTCAAAGACTTTCCATAAACAATTAACTTTTGTAGAAAGTATATGTAAACTTGCCTTAAACACTGAAGTTCTCAATAAAGAACATGAAGATGCATCATCTATTCTCAGCAGGGCAACAGAAACAATGACATACTTGAGATGAGCAGCCAGTTTGAAATCGATGGAGTCCTGTATGAGCTGTCTGTACCCCACGATTGCCAAGAACAGGACTTGGGTGAAGTGGCCAGTCTGACTGTCATTGATGATGCAGAGCTGAGGCTGTCCTGTGACAGAATCACCATGGACGGAAATGATCTGGCTCATCTCCTGAGGCAGCAGGTGCAGTAATGCTGCCCTGGCATGCCAGTATTAAGTCTTGCAGTTCCTACTCTGTCGCAGAGCTTTCCAAACTTGTCATACTGGTGACACACATTTTTTTCCTAGATAAACATATTTTCATGACACAGTAATTCAGTCGACCAGCAAACCAGAGGTTAACCTAACCTCTTATAAAAGATAGGACATTCATAAATTGTAGTAACAAAACATTTCACATCACAACCTATCTCATGAAAACTTTCATTTATATTAATCATCATCATCGTCATTATCCACTTCAGTCATTAAGCGTCGTGGGGAGGAAAAATTTGCAATCCAGTGTAGGTTGGCCGCACCGGCTATTTTTTTAGCTATGAAGATGTAAAGTGTCTTTCATACTGTTGATCCATATTTTGCGCTGCCATCCTCTTGGTCCTGTAGCTGATCTTCTTAGATGCTGTACCTGTGATGGCATTTGATGTTGCTGCATTCTAACAAGATGGCCAAACCACTGGATCTGCTATTTCCCGATGAAGTTGGTACAAGGAAATCACCCTAACCTGTCTTTTTTAAAACTGATGTCATTGTTATAATTAATTGGTAAATAAAATAAAATAAATTGAATGACACCAAGGGATTTAGTAACTGTAAAACATTTTCCAACACTAATGTCATTGTTCTAATTAATGAGAAGAAATAATAAAATAAACTGAATAACACACATAAATTGAATAACTGTGAAATATCTTCACACTGCAGCAGACACATTAACATCTCATGACATACAGTTTGGAGGGCTTTGCTGAAGCTCCTTCTACCTCAGAGTGCTAAGCTTGAAAGCCAAAGATAATTATTTCTGACAGAGCTGAAGAGAGACTAAAGGACAGAAGTAGTTATACTAATAATTCAGATCAGTCAGTCAGCATGTCTTTCACAGCTCACCTGAAAGACTGTCTTTCTGTAGCATGTTCTCCAGCCCTGTATACTCTCATAGCTGATGCATCTCCACCTTCGTGGAGGTTTGCCTCTGTCTCGTTTTCTTGGAAACTAAACCATCCAACACCGTTCTAGTCCACCATGGCACTTAATCTGGCCAAAATACCCAAGCTTTGAGGCTAGGATGTTGATGAGCCTATGCTCCTTGATGCTAAGGTCATGAGAATGTCGATGTTTCTCTTATTCCTGGTCCTCGGTAATAATTGAGATACAAATGGTTAGTATAAAATCTGTCTGTAATAGAAGAGAACAAGAACATCTTGTTACCTTTCCAATGAGTGAAAAATACATGACTTGTTTGGTGTTAAAAGAGTTGATAGAGCAGTAATACAACAGTTGCAGTTGTAACTTTTGTTGTAGTTGCCTGCATGTTTACGGCATGTAGCTGTTGATATTATTGTTCGCCTTAAGTTTTTAAATACTTATTTGACAAAGATATCATTTTTTTTTAAACATCTGTGATAAAATATTTTGTTTATTGCCGTGTAACCACAAACACTATTTCAGTATGATTGTGATTGCCAAGAACAGGACTTGTGTGAAGTGGCTGGTCTAAGCGTCATTGATGAGTGAGAGTTGAGGCTGTCCAGTGACAGAACAGGCTGTCATCAGAGTCACCAACGATCTGGCTCATCTCTTGAGGCAGCAAGTGTAGTGAAGCTGCCTCCACATGCCAGAACTGGGGCGGCAGTAATATAACAGCAGAAGTAACTTTTCTGCTGGCTGTCTGTCATGTGTGTGGCTGATGTTGATATCAGTGTTTACCAGAACTGGGGCGGCAGTAATATAACAGCAGAAGTAACTTTTCTGCTGGCTGTCTGTCATGTGTGTGGCTGATGTTGATATCAGTGTTTACCGCCTGTTTATTTTTGTACTTGTTTGACAAAGATTTTGTTTTTTCAACTCAACATCTCTGATGTTCAATTTGTATTCCTTTGTAACCAAAAGCATTATTTAATTTTTATTGAATGTGTTTGGTTACTGATACCTGTTTATATGCAGTTATATTCCCTGTTGTTTATTGACCTCAGGGCTGTGCATTCAGATATGTGAAGTTGATGTTTTCTATTCAAACAGATTCATATGTGCTTTCTGTTCGCTCCTCGTCAAGACCTCTAATTGTGTCTGTGTACAGCTAAAGAGTTGTTTTGTTTATTTTTTGTACATTGCTTCTGCAGATCAGTCACATTGCTTACCAACTTTTTCTTGTTTCTATAAAACCCTTTGTTTTGATGAAATGTGTTGCAGGGTCTTGCATCTGATCTTTCATTATTACCCTCTTGTTTCCATTCTATTGTTAGTTTTTGGTCTTGCATTATCCTGCTTTATTTTATTGTTTAAACACTATATTCGCACTGAGAAAGCTGGTTTCCTGACTTTTACAAGTATTTGATGGCATGGCATCTTTGGGCAGTACCCAGTACGCCTACATAACACCTGTGGTACTGTTTGCAGCTGTGTAGTATTGTGTGAGTATAAGGTGGGTTTGATTATATTTTTACGAAAAATACTGGTGGGAGATATTTGGGGTGAGAAAATAACTTTTTTTGGGGGGAAAGGAGTGAGATTATTCGTTTGGGTTTATATCTTTTCTTGTTTGGAAGGGGGAGGGGTCATTGTGACGTACGTGATAATTAACTTCTGATCTGCTGCCATCACTTTGCTCTCTCTGGCTGTGCCAACAAAACCCTGTTTTTCTAGATCAAAGGGAAGCAAACAATTATTTCTTTCACTTCATTTGAATTTTATAACTATTTCCCTTCATATTAAAGAAAAAAACCTTTGAGAGGAATAATTACCGGGTAAGTGGGGGGGGGGGGGGGGGGGGGGGGTGGTAATAATTATGCAGTAGCTAATAGGCTTGCCTGTCTGCTCAGTGGTCGTAGGTTTTAACCCCTGGATTTTTTTTAAATAAACAGGCCATCATCATCATCATGTGCCCTGCCAACTGGCATAGGCACTCATACATCTCCACAAATCATGATCACTAGTTGCCTAGAACAGCTCTCTTGATGATATCCCTCCATGCCATCATTTCAGCCCACCCAGCATCGCCTCTCTTGGTCTATCTCTACCTCTCTTTCCACTGATCTTTTCAGTTGTCACAATGTTTTCCAGTGCCTCTCTTCTCATTACTTGGCCAAAGAACAGTGTTTGTCTCCTTCGTATTGTTGAATATAGAGATCTACTTTCTTTAGCTTCTTTCAAACAATCTTTGTTAGTTACTTTGGCCGTCCAAGGTATTTGTAACATTCATCTCAGAAACCTCTGTTGCTTCTAAGTAAGTAAGTAAAGGACCCTTTCCACGCCTTTAGGCATATAGGGCTCGACCTATATTTTTATAGACCAGTCGGCACAAGATGGGTGATTTGGTCAGCATCACGCCGGCCGCCTTTACTTTCCCAGGACTGCACCCGGTACCCACTCAAGGCTGGGTTGACCTGGGAGCCAAGGTTATTTTTGATCTGTTGCTTCTAGATTCCTCTTAATTTGTTCACTGACATTTCAAGATTTGCTGCCATACAATAGAACAGGTTCTGTGTAACATTTTAGCACTCTCTTTCTGAAATAAATTGGTGAAGACTCGAAATTTCTTTTGCTTCTTCTTCTCTTCCTCTAGTGTCTTGGGCAGAGTTTTAGAGAATTTAACGATGTATTTCTGTTTAACAGACTTTTTGATGACCTCTTGTGTCAATTCATCCCCACCTTAAATTTGTTTTGTTGCCTTGTTAAATATATGTATTTGTTGAATTAAGGACAGTTGAAGTTATTGTCTGTGCATTAATTCTCCTTGTGATAACCTGACTTGTTGAATAAAATTCAGCTGCAGTTATTACCTGTGTATCTGATCTCAAGGTGATATGCTGAATTAAATTCAGCTGAAGTTATTGTCTATGTATCTGTTCTCAAGGTGATATCCTGACGTTGAATTAAAGGTGGTTGAAGTTTATTGTCTTTGTATCTGTTTTTGATATCCTCACTTGTTGAGTTAAAAACTGATTAACTTATTGTCTGTTTATATGTTCTCTATATTCTGTCTTAAATTAAATGTTGAATCAAAAATCAACATCACAGCACTCGATACATTCCCATAAGCGCTCAGTCCCCATCTTCAACAGCAAGTGTTGAGTTCAAGTTCTGGTGGTAACAGCAGAAGTCTTGATTGTATATTTGTCTCGCCTTTTCCTTGAGCTTTGAGAGCGTCAGCCAGCTCCCCTGATCACTACTCACAGCACCAATATCCTCAGACCATAATGATCTATTTGTGCCTCCACAGTTCACTTGCAGCAAAAGGACCCTTATGTCTAGCTTGTCATGCATCAGTATACCACCAAGTGTTGCAGAACCAGCCAGAGTATCTGGCTGTTCATTTCCCAACACACAAGCGTGACCTGGAAAAAATATCTTTAGGACGCTAACTATCCAAGACTTCTGAAGCAATTCTTGGCACTCTGCATGAGCATACCAGTCTCCACCTTTCTCAACATGCTCTGCAAGTCAGTTACGACTATGACATGTGTGCACAGCTGGCTGTTAAGCAGCACTCGAGACACCCTAATAAGCCCTCCGTCCTCATCTTCAGCAGCAAGCGAAAGTTAAAATTCCGATGGTACCAGTGTCTGATTGTAAATACATCTCGCCTTTCCCCTGGGTGTCGAGTGTCAGCCAGATCCCCTTGTAACTCCTCGCAGTACCATTCTCCTCAGACCGTAATGAAATATCATGTCTGATAAAGCCTGATGCTGACTACATCAGCAATTGAGTGCAAGCTGGTCTATAAAAGAGTTTCCGGTTAATATGGTTGATAGGTAGGTTTACAGTTTTTAGTCATGGTAAGCTTTTGCTTTTGCTTCTGACAATAGCTAGCTGTTGTGTTTTCCTCTGTGTCTAGAAAGGATATAGTTCCATCACCCAGCCACTGAGTTGAGTGCAGGGCGCGACACTGTGAGCTGCGGATTTCATTTCAAAAATGCTTTTTGACTGTGCCTAGCATGCTTTCGGTTGTGAAACGCAAATGCAGAAAATGTTGAGTGGTTCATTGCCAGAGAAATTGTGGCGCCTTATATGATAAATTGTGTGTACAGTGACTGATCTGTTGTAACTGCTACTTCTATCAACGATGAACTGCCTTTCTAGTGTTGGACTGTTTGTGTTGGCACTTCTGACTGCTGCTTTATGCATTTAATGCATGTGTATGCTATTAGCTTTGCTGAAACTGCAGTCTTCAGGCTGTGTCAATATTTTCACAAGGGATGGTGACAGACATTCTGTCTTCGTTCTGCTGAGGCACAGGTAGATCATTATGGTTTGATGAGAAAGGCACATCAGAGTTACCAGGGGATCTGACAGATGCTCAGCATTCAGGGAAAGGGCGAGACACATATATAATCAGACAGTTTCTGGTGCTATCAGAATTGCAAGTCTTGGTGTGCTGCTGAAGAGAGGGGACAGAGTGCTAATAGGGGTGTCCCAAGTGATGTGATATTGATTCTTAATTCAACATTCACTATCATCAATATTCAGGTTCTTTACAGAATGTTGCTGTTGTCCTGGCATGCCTGAAAGTTGCTATTTCTCCATCCCATGTGCTTCCATAGCCAGTGCTTCTCCCATGTGTTGTGTATGATCCTTGTTAAACAACATTTACATCAGTCTAGAAAATGTATGATCCTTGCTGTATGTCTACACCAGGGCTATTCAACGCGGCTCACGGGCCAGATTTGGCCCGCGGAGGCCTAGCAAGTGGCTCGTGGATCATTGCCAATTGTATTAACGATCTTCCTATGCTGGGACTTTGTCTTCTGGCCCGTGACGATCCCTGTTTTCCACCATTTTGGCCCCTGAGTAAACTTAGTTGAATAGCTCTGGTCTACACCATATGGTAGAATGCTAGGCTAAGAATAAAATGCAGCAGTTACAGACCCAATGACAAAAACATGCACATAATTTTAGTATGAAAAACAACATGTACAATTCAAACCTGGTTTTTATAATTTTTATTGGGATAGAAACATCTATAGGAGTTCTACAAATTATCTTCAAACCTATAGTATCAGACAATCAGTACTGTAAATTAAATTCTGTTGATGGAGTGAAAATAATTTCCAACTTATTGAAAAACACACCAACCTCAAGGTTCTAGCTACATAAGCATGACAGGCCTTTTCTCCATCTCAAATTTTTGTTTTTTAAATCAAGCATCTGTCAGTTTGATCAATTCAAAGAAAATTTCATTTTTAAGTTGTTTTTATTTTTAACGACTTGTTGAGATAGCCACCTATTTCATTGTGTATTTTATTTAGAAAGTTACTTATACAAGATAAGTACATATTTGCTCATGCATATTTCTTAAACATAAACTCATTATAATGAGCTAAATTTATTGACTTATTCTTTGTATGTAGTCAGGAATTGTGCAGGAAAACTTGGTGAAGATGGAATAGGTCTGGTTAAAAAAAGGAGACATCACTTATTCATATGGTCCTTTCAGAACTTTCTGGATGAAATCTGTGGAACAACAATTACCAAACAGCTGATATACAGGATTAAGTAACTCTATAATTATGTAGTTTGTAAACACAAGTTAAATATTTGTATCTGTGTACATTTATTTGTCCGTCTTGTCGATCTTTCCAGTCATAGTTTGTATATAGTGAATTCACTTCTGGGACTAAATACATCTTCTTATTTTGTGTTTGCCTTCAAAAACATGGCCTGTCAGGTTGTGGTTTAAAGCTAGGCTGTGAAATCTGCACCTATTAGCTTAAAACATTCGATTTCACGATACTCTAATTAGTCCTCTTTTATGACATGCTTGTTTGGGGACGGGGGGAGGTATTCTTTTTCCCCAAAAATAGGACCCAGAACCCAGTCAATCGGCGATTAGGTAACCACTGGCTCGCCGGCAGACAACTTCATCGCTGGTCGGGACAATATTTGGGTCTGTCTCTTCTGATCACATCAACACAGCAGAAGTCCTTTTTTCAGGGCTACTTAGCAGCGAGCAGTGCTAAGCCATTTTATTTCACGCACATAAACCTAGTCACAATTATAACCTAAAACTCCCCTTTTGGGGATGCTGGTTGAACGTGACAATTTTTTTTTTCTCCACAAAGCAAGTCAAGCCAAGCCAGAACCCGGTCGTGGAACTAAGTAAATGATGTTACAGTATCCTATACATCAGAGCAGGATTGACAAGGAGAGAATGCAACCAGATCTTGCTATGGTCAAATCTTGCACCACTTCCAATTTATTAGTGTCTGTTTTAATTACACCCTATCCTTGCTTCCTTTCTGTGACGGTGAAAAACAAACAAAATGCCCATTGTTGTCCGGTGTGAAGACAGCATTCCCAGCAGAATCCAACAGCTTACACACGCATAAGGCAGCTACCAGAGATGTCAGCACCTGCAGTCTATCACTAAAATTGCTATTCACTATTGGTATAAGCAGTGTGCACCTACACTTTTGCATAAGGCACAACAGACATATTCTGGAACACTGACAAAAGCATACACCATGAAACTCACAGCTCAGAGTGTTGCACCATGCACTCAACTCAGAAGCTGGCTGATGAAGCCAGATTTCACCTTTACCTCATCTGTTATCTCTTCTGTTATCCCATCTGTTGTTCCATCTGTTATCTCATATGTTGTCCCATCTGTTATCCCATCTGTTTTCTCACCTGTTGTTGCATCCAGTTTCCTGTTGGGGGTGGCAATCCTCAACCTTCCACTGGATTACTGAGGAGAACAGGGTCCACCACCACGTGAAGGTGAGGTAGGCTTGAGCAAAAAAGGTTAAGAGATCCTGCCACGTCTAGAAATGGTCACCAGACTATCGTATCCGCAAGTAAGAACACTTTCCAGTTACATCAAGTAAATGTTACTATTTTCATATTCTATATCAACTGACCTATAAGGGCTTTCATATTTACCTTCATATTTGACATTTCCTTCCAAATCTTCCCTGGTGTCTGTGGCTTTGATAATTTCGTCCACATCCTCATCAGAAAGTTTTTCACCTGATTATGTAAAATCTAGACATTAGTGTCACACATATATAGTCTATGTGATCTCATCCATAATGAAAGAGCCAATAGATTGGCCAGTTCTGTCTTAGCTGCAGTTGTTAATGGCCATAGAGAGATAGCACAATCCAAGCATTTTGGGAACAGCATGCTCACACCACTGATAACAATGTGTTAACTGGTAGTGAAGATAGGCACAGCCAGGCTAGAGAAACACAGTGGATATGCAAGAAGTCTTGTTGACCAACATAGAACTGGTGCAATAAACGGTAGGGCGCTGATGTATATGTCGAAGGGGAGCGCCTTTGCTGCCTGGCAGAGCAGATAATGATGCCATCAGAAAGTGTTTTTTTTTTTTTCTAACATAGACAACAGTGCCACACCTAACTATTTTATATAATGTAATTTACTATTTCCTCAGATTTTTTTCCCCCAAGTCCTTGAGTTTTATTTTGTTGTTACTTTAACCAGATGTATTCTAACTTTTATTGAAGTATGTTTATGTTATAGGGTCATTATTTTAACTCTTTAGACTCATCTGTCTCTTCTTAGTAGTGGTTGCTGGCTGTAAACTCCAGTGGAAAGTTCTGATAGACTTTGCTTTCTTGCCTCTCAGACCGAATACACTCCAACTTAAAAGGAAACACTCCTAATTAGTTCCTCTTCTTTTCCTAACCATGCCCTTGATCATTTCTTTCCCAACCATTTTGGTATTTAATAGGCTGAAGCATTTGAATGTCTTAGAAATCATACTGTCCACGAACAAGTCACAGTACCCCTCTTTTTCAGATCCTCAAGAATATAACTATTTGTCTTCTACAAATCTAAGAATCATCCTATAACATCTGTCCAGTATAGTGAAGTAAAGATCTCTTTTCACGCCTTTAAGTGCATTGGGCATATGGGAAGAGCACTTATATTTTTACAGACCAATCGGCACTAGATGGGTTATGTGGTCAGTATTACAGTGGCCGTCTTTACTTCCCCAGGACGTCTATCCTGGTACTCACTTTAGGCTGGGTCAATCTGCGACGCCCCATACCATGATAAAATTCTACGCAGCAAGCAATGGAATTACGAGTCCGACTTGCAACGCCTAAGCCACGGACCATGAAGATCTGGTATGTGGAATGTATTATTTTGTCTTTATTATTCATGGTAATCAGGGGCTCTGGAACTTGTAAGTTTAGGCACCCAAAGAGAGCCATAACACCCCCACCACTTTTTTTTTCTGTGAGATGCAAAGACATTTAAGATGATGAAAAATAAGAACAGCAGAAGATGCATGAAAGGAAAAAGAGGTGTGTAAAGAAGAATTACCTAAGCAGGTGAGAACATGTCGCATTTCGGCTGCTGAGATGAAACCTTGGCCCTCACGGTCAAAAGTTTTAAAGGCTTCATTGAAGTCAGCAAAAGTGCCTGTGTCTTTCTCTTTTGAGACAGCAGAATAGATGGGCAGAAACTCTTCAAACTTGTAGGCTTTCTCACCTATAATTAGATCATTGTATATGTCATTAAACATGGACTCAAAATTGAATAATATGTATGTGTAAAAAAAATCAACACGGAGAAACAAAGAATGGAAGATTTAAATAGCGTAAGAAAGTATACCAGGAAATTTTGATGACCTGCACAACAAAAATCAAAGTTACAAAGCCTGTCTGCAAAAGAATATTAAAAGAATATTTTACGATAGTAAGTAAAGCTGGCGCGTTGGGCACAGTATGCTAGACTCATACTTTTCTAGAACAATCGGCACTGGGTGGGGGATATGGTCAACATCACAGTGGCTGCCTTTACTTCCCAGGATAATACCAGGTGCCCATTTTATTCCAGTACGAAGGTGGCAGTTTGAATACTCAAGTACCTATCTTCTTTTTTAGCATTCCGAGCTCTTGAGTTTTATTACTGCAGATATCACCCGACCCCATTTATCTGTTATTCACCCTCTCTTATTAGTGGATGACTACAAGTGTTTGTAGGTCTGCCTGTATATTTCTCAACTGTTTTCTTGGTCTGCCATGTGATTAACGGCCATTTCACTCACTTATGTACACTTTTACTTTCTGTCACCAGCTATTCTATCTATATGCCCCAACCATTTCAGTCTATTTCCCTTTTCAGCAGTTTTGTTATGAAACAAGCTTTCTCTGTTAGCTTGAGGTTAGTCTCCCCTAAGAGAGAGTAGGCCACTTTTCATTCACAAGTTTGTTAGGCTGGTCAACTTTACTGAAGGTTACGGGAGTGTCTGGCTCTGTTTGGTGTGTGCAATGTCTTGCATTTACGTTTTCATTCCAAGAAAGAGAATGCCAATAACAATAGGTTGCAACACTCTCTGGGGGGAGGGGTGGGGGGTGTTAGACCCAGTTTCTCCATGTTTTTGGAGTGTTACAAGCACTGGCGTGCTGAAATATACAAAATGCGATATCAACGGCATTGCGGAACACCCCCGTAACTGTGTGCAAAGGTCACGGGGCTCGGAAACTACTAATCAGAAGTGAGTTAGTGTGTAAATGGGCGGGGTCTGTGGAGATTAACGTTGAACTAACCAGCTTTCTCATATGAGTGCTGATCAATACTTGTGAATGCAAGTCTCTGCACTTTGGTACCCACAGTGTCACTTATATCATGAGCCCATGTTCATGCTCGTCAGCCCCTCCACTCTTTCCTACTACCATGCCTTCTGCTGTTTTTCTTTCCAAGCCACTGGGACGCTTAAAATGGCCAAAATATTTCAATTTGCCTAGATGAAATGCTGTTTACTAGCTTAACTTCGTTGATGATTAGATCTGTTTATCATTATCCCATAACACTACGTATCATTGGGTCACCAGTTTCTGTTGACTGTCTGATCAGCTCCCTCCACCTTTGGCGATCAGTTACAATGGACTTCATGGTTGCCTGATTGAGGCCTGTCCAGTCAGTCAGGTTCTGTAACCACGTCTTTCTTGGTCTGCCTCTTTTCCTCTTTGCCTCTACTGAGCCCTGCAGTACTGTTTTTGAGAGGCCGGTAGCTCTTATTACATGTCCATAGCATTGCATTTGTTTGCCTTTTCACTGTAGTTAAAAGAGGTTCATAGTCGCCAGTGTGCTGTATAATTTTATGGCGAACCTCTTGGTTTGTAATGTGGTCTCTCCATGATATGCCAAGATTTTTTTCTGAAATATCGCATTTCTAATGCTTGTTTCTTTCTTTCAAGTTGAGCTGTTAAGGCCCACGTTTCACAGCCATATGTGATTGTACTAATAGCTAGTGCTCTGAGCAATCAAATCTTAGTTTTGCATGAAATGTTTTTGGATCTCCATAATGTTTGTTGCTTGGCAAGGACTGATGTTTTCTGGGCAATCCTAGAAGACATCTGTTAGGATGTCAGTATTTCCTTTCTCCTTTGTTCAATGGTATTCTGAGAATCTTTCTGTAGCATTTCAGCTCAAAAGCCCCTAATTTCTTTGTTAAGAACTTTGTTGTATACAGACACTCAATTGCTAATACAGACCCAGTTTGTCTGTTCCTCCATTCTTCCTGACAGTCTCCAAGGTTGGGTTCATACCCAAGCAGTACAGCATGTGCCCGGTCTTGAAGGCATCCACCTCACCGTCTCTACCATCCCAGAAGTCAAACAGTTCAAAGACATCACGGATCTCTGTGTATACAACAAGATCAGATCAAACATGTGATTGTTATTGTGAGTCGTGCTTTCATACAATAACAGTCAAATACAGGCATGCTGGAGAGTCTGCCCAAAAAAACAGAGTTGCTAAGAGTAATATCTTCTTCTTCATCTTCTTCTTCGCCTTCACCGGCTGTAAACTCTGGTGGAAAGTTCTGACTGTTCGTCCACTTATGGACTTTAGTCCTGTTCCAGAACATGAGTTTTGCGTACACATCTGTTTGGCAGATGTGGCTTATTTGTAAACAGACAGCTGATTCCTTTTCTCTTGTGCAGATGCACTTTAACTATGAAGGAAACATCTCTAATTAGTCGTCTTTTACTGCATGCTTGTTTGGCGCAGTGTCTGTTCTTTTTCTCGAAAAAAATTTTTAGAACAGTCAGTCAGCTGGCTATGTTGTCTATAGTAACCTCGAAGATGGCACTAGCCTTCTTGACCAGATTTGACCTCCAGGTCACGTTATTGGATTAGCGTGAAGACTCGTCAACATGACTAGAAGAAGACGTTGGTTAGTCGGGGTTCCAATTTCAAGGAAAAATTGTGAATTAAGAATCGACATCATAGCACTCCTATAAGCGCTTTCAAGGACACGAAACATCAAGGAAGACAAGCGCCTGGATAATCAGTCGTTGCAACCGTTTTAAGCGGAAGGCGATGACACTGTATTGGACATATCCTCGGAAGAAATGAGCAGAGAACCACTAAATGGACACTATAATTGGAAATAAAGAGATTTAGGATGTCTAAAAGAAACCCTAAAACAAAGGTAAGTGAAAGAGGCCAAAGGTGCTATACTGGATTCCAGCCATGACATCAAAGGGATTGCATAAGATAGGACAGAACAATAGGACACGTGATACACAACTGGACAATGATGATGAGGATGAACTTCATTGCAGACAGGTTGTCTCATTACTGTCTCGTTTCCGTGCCAGAAGAGACACAAAATGTCTTTTACTGGCCCGGTTGAAAACTAGTGAGAAAAACGTGTCAGTCCCAGCAAAATCTCAAAGCTCGCACATGCAACAACCTAGCAGATGTATGGGGGAAGGGGGCTTTGCTCTACAGGACAACAACAAGCCATATGGTTTTTTACCACAACACAGGCATGTCCTCTCTCTCTCTCTCTCTTTCTCATCGTTAAGCTCGTGTGTGATCTGTGTTGCTAGCTTGAATTCAAAGTAAGCTGCACGGTTTCTCGATCAATGGCGTGCGGAAAAAGAATTAGTTGTATTTAAAGCACCAACGCGCGTGTACAACTTTATAGTGGCAGAAGTTTCCATTCTGTTTATTTCTCCCCCCATCCCACCTCTTCCTTTTCGAGTTGAGTTCTGAAGGTCTTGGGTTCTTTTCACGGCAGCGCTGTTCTGTTTACCAGTGCAATATTCACGGAGATCGCTGGGGATCGTCGCAGGAGCTATGGAGTTCATGCTCTGTGCGGCGCACTCGGAATGCGGCTATCTGTTCTGTGGATAGAGACCGAACTATACGGGTTAAAATCCGATGCAATAAAGTCGATCTTCTCGACTTTAACCTTTTTTTTAAAACTTAAACTGAGAGTTAAGAGTTTATCAAGGACCGACATATTACCACTCGGTGCATTCCCATAAGCACACTGTTCTCATCTCCAGCAGTCAGCGCAGAGTTTCAATACCAATGATCTGATTATTGTCCAAGCACGGTTTCTTTCAGTTGAAAGAATGAATTCCATTTCCAATTTTGCTACATGGGTAGTCGTGTCAATATATTCATTAATCAATCCTGCGGGCACATTTAATTGTGTATGTTTGTGTTTGTTTGTTTTTTGTTTGGGATGTTTTTAATACACAACATTCACCATTTTTTTTTTCTGTGTATGAGTTTAAGATTTACTTTTTGTGATCTCTAATCAAGTTTTTTGAGCAATTATTAACCTTTTCATAAACTTTTATCGGCCCCTCTATTCTACTCTTTGAATATTGTATTCACTTTAATTGCAATTTATGTCTTGATTTTTATCAGCACCTTGCTTTGTGTTTTGATTCGTTTCTCGTACTTACATTTTAAACCATTCAGCAGAAGGGACCACGTGCAGACAATGAGTTACTTTTTATTTTCGTATTTTTTTGTTGTTGTTTTTTGTGGGTGCTTTATTCAGAACGTTATGGAAAAGTTCTTTAAGTCGGCGTGTTGGCAGCCTACGTCTGTCTGTAGAGAGCTATGGGTGTGTTCCCGGGCATTCCAAAGGCATCGAAAGGGCAACATTCGGCACGCGAACACAGCTATCTCTAGCGTGCAGGTAGGTCGTCTCTTTATCGGGTACGTGAGGTCAATGGAATTGAAAAGTTGGCAGGCTCCAGTGCTATTTTGGTTTTTCTTTGTGTGTTAGATACTCTTTATTGTTTGGGCTATACTCTTTATTGTTTGGGCTATGTGTATAAATTGTTGAATCTATCTATCTATCTATCTATCTATCTATCTATCTATCTATCTATCTATCTATCTATCTATCTATCTATCTATCTATCTATCTATCTATCTATCTATCTATCTATCTATCTATCTATCTATCTATCTATCTATCTATCTATCTATCTATCTATCTATCTATCTATCTATCTATCTATCTATCTATCTATCTATCTATCTATCTATCTATCTATCTATCTATATCTATCTATCTATCTATCTATCTATCTATCTATCTATCTATCTATCTATCTATCTATCTATCTATCTATCTATCTATCTATCTATCTATCTATCATCTATCTATCTATTTATCTGTCTGTCTGTCTGTCTGTCTGTCTGTCTGTCTGTCTGTCTGTCTGTCTGTCTGTCTGTCTGTCTGTCTGTCTGTCTGTCTAAACCATCAGTCTGTCTGTATGTTTGTCTGTCTGCCTGCCTGTTTGTCAGTCAGTCTTTTTTTCTGTCTGCCCAACCTATAGATCCACCCACCAGCCTGTCTGTGTACCAGTTTGCCTCTCTGTTGACGTATCTAGCCATGGCAACCTTCCACGCCCTTTCCAATTGTCCTTCACGATGCAGCTCTTTGACCTCGACTATTTTTTATTTTTTTTGGGCGTATGTGAGCGGGAGACGTCCATGTGCTGTTTTACCTGTGTTTACAGCCCTCATCTCTCTCTCTTTCTCTGTCTGTCTGTCTCTCTCCCTCTCCCTGTGCCTGCCCGCCCGCCTGCCCACCTACCTGTCGTATGGAGGTGAGTTGTATATTTGTCTGTTAATGCCTTACTGTGTGTGTGTGGGTGAGTCATTCTAAACTCATTCCTGCCGGCCTAAATGTTCTAAATTCAAGTCCTATCCGTTGGGTTCCGGGTCCCCATGGTGGAGGGGGGACATTGAGAACAGACCTGCCCCCCCCCCCTTTACACACACACACACACAGAAGAAAAAGTAATTTCTTGTCCTTTAAAGAACGTTGCAGAACAGATCCCAAGCATTTTTCGGATGTTTCTGATTTCACAAGGCAATTTTACCATCAGTAGTTTGCACGTTCGGGCTTTTGTTACCACTGTCGAAACTAGCGCAAGGCAGTCAGCTGCCAAATCGCCCAAAGCTGGGATCGAACCCAGCACCTTGGCATTACGAAGCTCTTTTGCAACGCTTAAGCCACAGACGCAGAGTAACAAGCATGTCGAAGAAAGTCGACTTATTAGGTTCTCGTGTCGGTTCCCAGTTCCCATTGTGGGGAAAACAAGAACAGACCCACTGCCTCTCCAACAAGCATGTCGTAGAAGTTGACCACTGGGGTTTACTTCGAAGTCGAAGTGCATCTGCCTAAGTGGCAAGAAACAACCAACTGCACACAATTAAGCCGTTAAAACGGATATACGCCCAAAACTCAGATTTTGCGGTGGCTCCCAAAACGATGTGTTGCTCCAGAAACGAACCGGTACCCTCCTCGTCGCCCGCAAACGCTGACAGCTGAACTAAACTCATCTCCTACTTAAAATCCTAGACGACTGTCATATACCCACCAACAAAGATTA